TTCTATGAAAGATATTGAGTGAAAAGGTTTGTTGTGTAAAATTTTCTAATCTCTCATAAAGGAAGTTTGTTTCTTTGGCGGCTATTTGACACAATTCCCATGTATATCTTGCGCGCGTGTGGATTTCAAATGCGACGGAAATTCGTTCGCCATTTCTATTCATAGTTTTTTTCACGACCAAATCGGCTCAACGGGGCTTGGTAGCTGTTGCGGATTTTTCCGAGAAATGCGTGGGTGAATGTTGTATTTTTTATTTTTTAGACAAAAGGATTTCTTGAAACATTTAAGTTAGGGATGAATTTGAGAAAGATTTTTTTTCCGTCGGTTGATCCTACTTTTGCACAAAATTTGATTGTTTTGTTATGGAAATTTCTTGGAACTTATTTTATATTTAACAACCAATGAAATTCAAGAAAATGTTTGAAATTGAAATGAGGGTTACTAAAGACTAAAAGAAGGATTATTGCGGAATTCATCTTTATGGTCCTTTATAATTAGAAATGCTTGCGTACAGCATAATATATGGTCTATATATCATGTTGTAATTATATTTACCGATTACTGTTGTAGGTTTGATTCCTGTCAGAGGACATATTTTTCTATGAAAATTCTTGGACATTCAGGCTGGTAAATATAATTAAAACTGTTTATTATAAACAGAGCATTTACTTAAAAAATTGTATCTATAAAAATAACGTATAAACAGAAAATATATTAATATATATATATATATATATGTGTGTGTGTGTGTGTGTGTGTGTGTAAAAAGCAAAAGGAAATTTTTTCCCCACTAACATGCTCTGTCTGTCGAAGAACCCCATTAAGGCACGTGTGTATACTTCATCCTGCAATCTGCCTCTCTATACACACGATCAAAGAAGAAAAATATCAAAAGTGAGAAAATGTTGTTATTTATATATTGATTTATTTTTCAATGCAATTATTATTTCTTGCTTAACCATTCATGCCACAATCCATTTCAAATATTTAAAAATGTCTATAAACAATAATTCTGAAACAGACATATCTAAAATAAACCATCACAGCTGTTCCTTACAATACATTTCATTTTTGGTTAAGCCACAAGGTTGGAATCCCAAGGACCAGGCTTCTTTCATAACTTTAAGAGGAAGACACTAGACACTTCACTTTGATCCCAGCTCAATGGACAGAAAAAGGCAATCTGATTCCCCAGTAGATATAGCACTATGTTAATAATCTTGTCATTTTTATAGCCTTCCTAGTGTATATATTTTGTTATGGTCCAGGTTAGGACCAAGGAAGAACAAAACGAACACAAGAGTAGAAATAATGAAGGCATATTACACGAAATAATAATACAAGATGTGGAAGGTGTTAGTATGACTGTCAGTTTGGTTTGGAGTGAACTACTATTGGCTCGACTCGATTCGTCCCTCTCTCTTGAGAGGCGTAGTATACATAGTGTTAGGAAGAGTTCATTCTGTAGATATAGGTAAGGACCCATGACATATTTAATGAGAAAAATTGAAAGAAAATACAAAACTAATTGCTATAGAGGAAGATTTTTCATTACTGCTGGTCATAAAACACTAGACATTTCAGTCCCAGATAATTTTGAGCCCAATTGAAATTGTGTGTTTTTTAATCATGGCCAGCTTCCATTGTGCCACAACATCTAGCCCAACTTAATGCTTCTTGCTTAATAAATTAAACTAATTTTAGTTAGGTTTCAAAATTGTCTTTTAAAACTAACTGCATTTTCTTGTTTATTTCCAATCTATATTTTGTAATCTTTATAAGTGGTTTGATGTAAGAGTTGCTTTCACTGTTAGAATTTTTATGGAAAACTATGACAAAGAAGAAAAAGTTTTCATGTGATGTGTTTTGTCTTTTAGTACTCCTTTGCACTAAAAGTGATATTTACATTGATGCAACTACACATGTGTACAAAGGAGAGGGGATCCTGAAAATGTTAAAGTAAAATTCTTTTTTTTTATATATGTTTTGGGTATATAGTTGAGACTGTTTCATTTAGTTTTTATTTCATCAATTTTGTTAATAATTATCCGATATTGTAATAAAAGATCTGCCAATAAAGGTGAAATGTTTTAAGAACCTGAACATAAATTATTTTATTCCTAAAATTGTTCTTGATATATAAAAATTTATATATTGTTTTCTCATATTGTTTGGCATATAAACAGAAGCAGTAATGAAAAATGGAAAGAGTTTGAGCAGACATATTGCAGAACAGATAAAGAATTCAATGGTTATAAACCACAAGTCCATAATGGTTTTGTAGTGACATAGACAAAATGGGGTTGCCCTATTTTGCATAGACCCAAGCAAATACTAAGAAGTCATTTGTCATTCGGTATGGAGGTAGAATGTCTATGACAGAGACTAAAAGACGTCACAACAATATCTCTAACTCCGTTGGATGAGCCAGACTTTGTGGAAACATGGATCTGTTGTTTTGCTGCCCATGTGTGGGTCAAGTTAAAAGACCACAAAATTACAGGAGAGGAGAATGAGATTACAGATCTCTTTTTGGCTTCAGTAGGATCTGAGGGCATCAGAAAAATCTTTGTCATGGTGTATTCCAAAGAATCGGAAGATTTGACCATTTAAAAAAATCTCAGACTTTATAATCTGAAAAACTGGACACAGGTGAAATGACCATCAAAGAGGCATTAATATAGTTGAGATTAATTGAAGGTATTTGTGATACTTTGTACAAACACACAATTTTGGAATGGTTACAGCTGACTAAAATGTCCTTGGATACATCAATAGAGTTTCTGCAACAATTAGAGTTAATTGAGAAATTCAATACATCCAAGAGTAATGCCAAAGTATACAGTATATTGAATTACTTTGTGCAATGCAAATATTGTGATAAAAAAGCAGGAATGTGACAAGAAAAATGTCCAGCTTTATGACAAGTATGCTGGAATTGTGAAAAGAAAATCCATTTTCTGGTCTATGTGCAAGTATAAATGGAAATAGAAAGAGTAGAAAATTTACCCCTCCCCCCTGGAAAATACAGTTGTATTGCTGATACAAAGATATAAAAAGAAAAGTGCCAGAGAGCCAGAGAAAAAATTAAATTGAATGGTATAACTTACCCTATGCATGTAGATACTGGGAGTGATGTCACCATAATTCCAATAAATTTCTGGGAATGAATAGGCAAAGCTAAATTAAAGAAAAGTTGCCTAAAACTTGTTGGTTTTAGGCAACTTTTCTTTAATTTGGCTTTGCCTATTCATGGCAGCTCTTTCATCAGTTTGGCAGCTCCTTCATCATTTTGAGACCACCACACACTGAAATTATTCCCATCAAGGTTGTGAAATGTGAAAATGTCACAGACTTGTGGGAATAGATGTCTTGAAAGTGGATAAACCAAATTAATTAAAAGTGTGAGGTTGGAAAGTAATGACATGGGAAATGTTAATAGGATACAAAGTGAGCATCCAGTTAAAAGAAAATAGTCATCCCTCTTATTTTGAGTCCCACAGACTCACAAGCTACCTTTAGTAGTTGCTAAACTAAAAATAATGGTGGAGCAAGGAATTTTAGAACATGTTCACCCTGGTACTAACTGGTGATGTTAAGAATATGATCAGCTATCAAGACTATATTATGAAAAAAGAACAATGAATTCAAATGGATTCAATGGCAGAATACAGCATTTGAAAATTTAAAGAAAGAACTTATTTAAAAAAAGGAAGTAACTTTAACTACAGACTTAAGTGAGCATTCTGTATCAGAAAAATTGTCTCAAGAAGGTAATCCTATAATGTATCATTCTGAAAGATTAATGTCAGCTGAGACTAAGTATTCAAATATTGTAAAAAAGCAGTAGCTATCATATGGAGCACAGATAGAGTTCACCAATTTTTATTAGGCTGGAAGTTAAAATCCGATCATAAAAAATGGCAAGAAGTTAAAATCTGATCATAAAAATTTAGAGTTTATTTTTAACCCCAGGAAAGTTTCTAGAATTTTTAGATGTGTCATAATGCTCATGATCTTTGACTTTGACATTGAATATGCGAAACAAAACACTATTGCACATGTATATGCTCTATCAAGACTAAAATTCAACAATGAACTATTAAAAAGATAAGAATTCAGAAGATAAAATATTACACTGTATTGAAACAAATATATTACCCTTAGATCATCTTGCATTTAAAACCTTACAGGATCCAGTATTAGGCAAGATTGCATAGAAAATAAAAGGAAAAAAATGACTGAGAAAGAGATAAGGCACAAGTTAACTATAGAGAAGGGGCTTATATGCAATGGAGATGTTTTAATACAACCAGAGAGATTAAGAAAAGATATAATAAAAACTGTATATAATGTTGCTCATTGTGGAATAATAGAGATGATTAAAATTGAAATTTTGGCATCCAGATTATTCATGTGATGTAGAAAAATATGTACATAAATGCTCAAAATGTGAGGAAACAAAAACTTTTGCCTAAAGAAAAAGCCATAGGCTTGCATTCATATGGATCATGTGCATGTGAAAGGCATAGGAATATTTTTAATTTCAATTGACTCATTCTCTGTATGGCTTGAAGTTCAGGATAGTAGGGCAGCCACAGTAAAGCAAATATTATATTTTCCAGAAATGGGGTGCCAAAAACGTTAGTCACTGACAATGCACCAGAAACTTTATGCTCATGGTTAAAACGAATTGGATGCCTCTCTTATAAAACACCACAATATCACCTACAATTAAATGGAATTGCAGAAAGAATGGTGCAGATGGTGAAAATGAGGTTGAAGGTGATTTCTCCATTCAGAGACACCTACCAAGATTATTAATGAGTTATAGAACTATTCCACATGCTACATCACAAACGAGAAGACATCACAACAGGTTTATTTTTCAATCAATAGCCATATGAGTCATGGTGAGATGATTTAGGTCAAGCTATATTGATTGCAATCAGTCACTGCTGTACTCACTTGCATACCATCTAAAGCTGAATTAGACCACATCAAAATAACATTATTTTGATTTTGTCCTTTGGTATACAGACACAAGTGAACATAATGGCCATTTTTAAAGATGTGGCTGTATTAATGAGAGTGACCAACAGTTGCCAAAACCTAAGAGAAAAGAAAGAGGAGTTGGGGGATAGAAAGAGGCAGGAGTAGATGATCAATGGAAGGATAGAGTTAAGGAGAAAATAGGAGGAGAATATAGATACAAAGGAGTAGGAGGAAAGATATTGTTTTATAGGAAGAGAATAAATAGAAGGAAAATTATTAATAGTTTGTAATTTTATACCAACTTGATAACAAGTTAAGAAGCTGTCGTTTTGCAGATGACAAGATGATTAAATTTCAAATCGGAATTATTTTTCTACTTTTATTAGAAAATATATTCCCCTTTTGGCTTATACTATTTTTTACTTTTATCCAGGTGTTGTTGCAAGACAGGAAGGGAAATGACCCTTTCAACACATGTCCATTTCAATTTCATTCAAATTTAGTGTGTATTTATTTTAATGAATAGACAATGCTGAATATCAACTTAATAAACTTCATTCTACTAAACTGGACCATTAGTAATTAGACAGCTTTTATACATAGTGGTTAGTATTGAAATGGGTAGGATGGGATAGTTCATTATTATCACATTCTCCCTGGTTATTGTTTTATTTGTACAGGAGAAAATCTTCAGATGCCCAGGCGTCTTGCAGGTCCTTTGTGGTCTTCATGGTGGTTTGACTTTGTCAGGATCCTCTGGATTTTCTTCCTCAATATTTTTAGTGGTAGGATGAATCCATTTTTGTGGCATCAATCGCTCATTTGCGCTCAATTCATACCACAAAGATCCAGGGCTAGGAGATTGTAAATAGTCCCTGGAGTCATCAGTTAGAATGTCAGTAGCTGGGCTCTTGGGAAGTTTTCTGGTTAACTTCCCCTTTCCGACAGTCTTTTAGGGAGACTGTATCTTGCCTTCTATCAGGCAGCTTAATAAGGCATATTGAGGATTAGTTTCTATCAGTTCCCCCCTATCTATTACTGGTTTTTGCTTATTCTGGTGTATGTGGCATTTTAATAGCACTGTCCCTGGTTGTGACAATCATGATGACACTGAAGTGCCCATAGAACATCTTCTCGGGAATGAAAAGAATCTTTCGTGTGGAGTGGCATTCATAGCCATATATAGTACTGATCTCATGTCATGCAAGGCAGTTGGTATTAGATTTTTCCAACAGTCAATGGAGTACCTGTAGTCAACCATTGTTAATTGTATAGTTTTCCAAATTATGCCATTATATCTTTTGCATGGGAATGAAGAATAGAGCCACTCAGGTATGGATATTACTCATTACTGTGAACAACACTACTTTATATTAACTGACTGAGAAGATTCACTGTGGGTGAGTAGTGTTAGGGACGTATTCTCTAGCCTTACCATCTCTCCTCCCATCTCTAGCATTGAGTGCCATTGTAAACCCCAAAAGCAGTCTGAATTCTCCACCGAGTGTCAAAAGGCCTTGTGTACTGCTCCTCAGTCCAGTGAGGGAATTTTTATTCCCAGAGGGAATTTTATCGGGAACTAGTGGGGGTGGTCACATTGGATACACTCTGTGGGCAGCTCGGCTTGTCAGCAACCAAGTTGCTCTCTTTATGGTACTGGGCTCCATCAGTGATTTACCTCAGTGGTCCTGAGTTTTTGCTTACCTGGTGATTGATCTTGAATGTGCTATTTTTCAATTATGTGACTTTAAGAGAGGGCTGGACAGATATGCCCAATTGTCACAGGTGTGTGTAGAAGAAACCCACATTTTCTACTGTCGTCATATCTGCTCATTCTGGTATCATGTTGGCAAGTTGACGGCTTGTATTGATCCCAAACATCTTGTGTCCATTGATCTTGCATAAAAGGGTGATAATGTGCCACCCCTGGGGTGAAGCAGTTTTTAATGCTGCTAGCCATGACAAGGATGGTGGTGTGGGCATTGCAGATGTAGGGAATGAATGTTATTCTCATCAGAATCTGAGTGGATTCTTTGAGCGTGAGCTAAAGATCTGATAGAAAGTGTTTCATCTTGGCAGATTTCAGCAAAAGGCGGGTAAAAGTAGCAAGCTCAGTTCATTTGAGACAGTCTTGATTTTCTTTTTTAGTCACCTATAGGCACAATGGGACAGAGTAATGATGGACCCCATCCCTGGTTAAGCTAGACTTTTTGTTTACCTAGTTAATATGAGTTATTGTTGTTCATGGCCTGCTCCCAACATTTTCTTTTGTTATGATCCATTTTAAGATTCCCAGCCTCCTCAATTTGTTTTTTTCTCCTTTTTCATCTTGACTGGACTTTCCTATTCTGTGATTTATTTTTCTCCCTCCCCTGCCTCTAGTGAGTGATCTGCTTGATTTTGCTTATCGGCAGAATAAAGTGACCAATTTTATTTTTTCTGGTGGAAGTTTCCTACTAACATATTTTATTTTTAGTTTGAATGTCTTATCATACTTTATTTTCATTATTGGTTTCATCTCTCACTCCCTCATTTCAAGTCATATATTTTTATATAGTTTTGTAAAAAAAAAGAGAAAATCCAAAAAAAAGACAGTTTGTATATTACCAAATTTTTATGTCATGGGTGTTTTAGTAGGATCCCTGTGAATATGCAGTATTGTGGTATATGTTGGATTGAATGGCAATGTATCAATTCTTGTGGTGTTTGATTCAAGGGTAAAAATGAATGAGTTGTGAATCAGATTAGTGAGGTGTAGGATAGTCAGTGATGAACAGCCCTTCCCCACTTTCCCTTCTACCTTGTGTCACCATTGCATTTTCAAATACAATAAATAAAGTTTTTTGGATACCTTTCATGCAAGACATGTCCAAATCCGGTTTTGTAATAGAGGTAAGCCATTTTTTCTAATGTTACAGATATACTTGACACTTTCCTGGGAAACAATTCATCAATACATCAGGTGGAGATTATATCCCTGCATTGAAGCACCAGAATCAAGAGAATCTCCCTGAGCTGTCATATTTGGGATTGTGAGATTAGGGTGGAGTGTGGTGAAAAAAGTAATGACTTATCTTGTCAAAACAAGTGACAGCTTGTTACATGTGTCATTTCCTGATGAAAAAGGAAGTCTCACATAACTTCTTGCTTTATATAGAGAACATCATGTAAATTTTTGTTTCACCTCAGCCAATCACTAACTTTCTGCTGACTTACATATTCAGAGTGCTCTTAAATGAAAGGATAGATGATTTTCTTGTTTGTTGCAATGTGTGAAAGTCAGTTTTGTGACCTATGATTTGCAACTATTGACCTGTAGAATTTTGTTTTTATTTTTACCACTTGTAGAACTTTTCAACTACATACTACTAGAGTGGTTTTGAACCTCATTAAGTGCCTAGCAACTGTTACTAATTGAGTGGTTTTGAGTTTCATGAAGTGCCTGGCTACTATACCAGATTAAGCTTAGCTTATAATCATGTTGAGAACTCTGGTGTTCATGTTATCATTGAAGTTAAGCAACATGAATTGTTGTCATTACTTAGATGTATGATTATTTATGAACACCAGTTTCTGTAAATAATTAAAAAAGGGAAGGTAACATTAAAGATAAATAGTTAAACATCAAACAAATACAAGCAGTGAAATACCTGTCATAATTGCCTGTAAGATAATCAAAGATGAGCATATTTCCCCATTGCACAATATCTGATATTGCAGTATCATTTAATTTCATCAGATTCAGGTTGGCTCCTGTTAAAGGTTCCTTTTGTAAATATGCATTATAGATTGCTTCTGGCATCTTTACATGTGACCTGAAAAACAAAGAAACTGCAAATGTACTGATAAGCCAAAACATTATGACCAAGTGACAGGCAGTAAATATCTACTGACTCATAACAAATGCACATATTAGGATCAAAGATATATAAGCTGGTTCAAGTATTTTATTCTGATGCATTAAATACTGCAGTTATGTACAAGAAGAAGATTTAAATAACTTTGATGAATGGCAGAATGTTATAGTCAGACCAGAAGACTAGGTCAAAGCATTAAAGATACTAGGAAAATTGTTGGTTCCTAGTAGCTGACTCCTTCTATCACACATCTACACAAGAATCAAATGAGACCAAAAATAGTGTATTGCTGTTTTATCTGAGCTGGAGTTGCCCGATCCAGCCTTGAAAGAATTCAACATCATTCACACAACCTTGTGGGGGATGACATATTTTCTACCCTGCGTCCTCTCTCCCACAGAAAAGGGAATGCCTATAATTACTCCTATAGTAAATTTTCAGATAAGCTCCATTCTTTAGTACAGCTAGTTCAGACCTTTACCCACCTTGATATATCCCAGTATTGGATCACCTTAATTTCCTGCATATTCCATTGATAAGAAAGATATCCACTCAGACACCTTCTTCCCAAGAGCCACTTCTTTGTAGAACAGACTCTCACAGGGATGCTTCCCTGTATATGACAATCTTAACCTCTTCAAGTTTAGGGTCAATAGCTATCTATACTGGATATGCTTATAATCTTATCTTCCTTGTCTTACATCTGTAACACTCTTGAGTCTTGTGTTAAGTGTAAAAGGATCTGAAACTGCACAGGTAGTATAGTGTTCATGTTCACTTAAAGTGAGTTGGTAGTGGTCCAAGGAGAGAAAAATCAACAACTAGCAACAAAATTTATCAGTATGAGATGTATGAGAAGGTGCAATGATTTGCTCTCCTGGAGGCTACTATCAGCCATTCTGATGGAGGACAAAAGAGTTCTTTAAGATGACAAAAGGGCAGTAGTTTTCATGGCAGTGGAAAATGTTCAACTGAGAAGGTGCAATGATTTGCTCTTCTGGAGGCTACTATCAGCCATGCTGATTGAGGACAAAATAGTTCTTTAAGATGATGAAAAGTCAGTAGTTTTCATGGCAGTCATGTATGTTTTTTGTTGGGTATGAGCTAACATAATGGCTACTGTTGTAGAAATTACAGATACCTTTAATCAAAGTGAAGGAAGGAAAGCATCACAACAGAGTACTGATTCATGTTGTGAATGTGGCTACATAGCTGCAGGGCAATCAGAATTCTGATACTAACCAATGCTCATCATTGGAAGCATCTTCAAAAGGCTTATAAATGTCAGGACTAATGAGGATAGCAGGAAACATGTGCATCATTATACTGGGTGAATTTTAGTACAAGGAAACACTATGAGGAAAATAGCAAGCCAGTTAAGGCAATGTGATGGTTTGGACAACATTCTGCTTGGAAACATGGATCCTACTATGGAAAGTACTTTGTTATATACCACTTACTTCAATATTATTGAAGAATACCAGGTAAACTCTTTCATGGCAACAGTATTCTACAATGGTAGCAGCATCTTTCTGTAAAACAATACAATATGCTATATTGCATAAGAGCTGTCCACTACTATTACCCTCCAGATTACAATCCCATTGAGCATTCCATCACATAACTTATAGCAGTCAAGGGACTTGTTGTTAATATCTTGAATCCAAATTCCAGTAGATACGATTACAAGTTTTGTAGAAATGACTTGATTGAGTAAGAACTATTTTGTAGGTACATAGAGAACCAATATTTTATTGGGTATGTGCTCATCAATGTATACATTAGGTTAATGCAAAATTTCCTAGCATCACCTTTGAAGAATTTTACAGAAATGTTTCAAATGTTTCTGATGTTTAGTCAGGACTGTTTTGCTTGTGCAATTAGTCACCTCAAGTATATCATTTACATGCCATGCATGTTAGTAAAATAGGTTTTGCATGAAATTATGAAAAGGAGTATTAGTTTACTTTAAACACTTGTCATGGACACATGGCTGAGTAGTTAGAACATTAGTATTCTTATCATAAGTTCTGGGTTTGAATCTCATCATGCTTGAGGAGATATCTTCATAATAGCAAACTAGATAGATGATTCCAGTAAATAGCATCATTGAAAAGTGCTAGAAAACCATACTATGAGTTGATGGGGGTCTTGTGAGTGAAACTGGATAGACAAAACTGTTTGGAAGCTATCCATTATCATATTAGCACAAAGTTACATGTTATCATAACCAAGGGTTTGAAGTATGCTGGCCTTGTTCAACTACAGATCATACCAGCTTATGTACTATCACCCTCACCCAGAAAGTGTAACTAAGTTCTGCTCATTATAGTTGTGATATCAACTACAGGTTGGCTCTGTAGGTGTTGAACATGTGCCTTAGCAGATGTCTGATTTATTCGATATACCAACTCCACCATTGCCTGAAACAGTTGTCCAAAGAAGGACAAGCAAAAGAAAAAGAACTAGGGTGGAACGTTTAAGTCCAGATCCCAAAAGAAAAAGATATTAATTCCTCCGGAATTAATCTCAAGGGGGAGGTGTTGTGTCAGAAACCTACCACCTCTCTTGAAGATGAACTTGTCTGCAAACAAAGACTTTAAATAGTGGCATGTCGAAGACAGAAGACAGAGAAGTTCTTAGCTGAGCTAGTTATTGACTACTCAGGCGATTTCTGTACCTTTTTACCAACCTATTAAAACCCTTTTTATTGTTACGTGTTATTTGGTGTTTGTCTCTACTAACCCCAAATCAACATCATAACACATAGTGATTCCTTTTTTCAGCAAACATTAAAGTATACTTAAAATTCTAAAACATGTGACTTTAGGTAACTCCTTTCTGGGATTAAAAATAAAGTTTTATGGTCAGCTTTCAACAGAAACTTCCTGCATAATAAATGTGCAATGGTGAGCTCTATTTGTGCTCCATACAATAACTAATGCTTTTTCTTCAATGTTTGAATACTTAGTTTTAACTGGCACAGTGGATAAAGGTGTTAGTTAGATCCAGTGACAGGACCCAAAGAGTGTGAGTTCAATACCCAGTTAATGCAGTGAAGAACTTTCAGAGGGAAATTAACAGGAGATAACTGATAACTGACATCCATTAAAATTTGGCATGTGGAACTAGAAGAGTCTACCCTAGTGAGTGAAATAAAGGGTTCAGTTTGCCATTGCAACCACCTGAAGAAGGCCATAGTGTACAATGGCCGAAACGTTGGCGAAAAAGATGAGGACAATAGTCCAAATAATGTAAATAATGACATGGATAAGTTAAGTAAAAGATTTTTTATTTTCTGTGATCTAAAAGGTTGGATCATTTGCTCATCCCAGGTAACTGAGAGTTTATTTGGGGTATAACACAAGGTAGTAGTCAAGAAGACATAGAAGAATATCAATGTGCATATATAGTTGAGTGAGAATCACATTATAGTAGATAAGAATTAATCTCTGCTGGCTTTGTTGCTGGCCAAAAGCATTATTGTTGATGGAAATTCCTTGGTGTTACTGCTGCTAGTCTGGGCAGTAATTTAGTTTACTGTGTTTGGGTTATGGTTGTTGTGGGAATCTGTCACTAATCCTAGCCAGCTTTGTGAGTAAAATCAACATTTGCTTTATAGTCAGTCAGTGGCTCAGAAATGTCTGCTGCAAAGACCATTTGGGCATTTTTCTGATTGGTCAGAAAAGATGTTTTATGACTGTTATTTTTAAATGGTATTCCAGAAGTGGGTGAGTGGAGCCAGATGAAATTAAGCTTCCTTTTTGTCATATGAGCTATGGATTTTGAGTTAAAGAATGGGAGTTCCAACAGGGTACAACATAGGTACTCAAAACATCCTGCAAGCATACCCTCTAGCTCTGTGCCTTTCCAAAATTGAAGTCATACATTTCAGCAATTATTGTATTGCTGTCAGTCATAGTGAAAATGTGAAGGTTATATTTTGGGGTCTGGGAACTTTCAAAGTTTTTCCCATATATAAATTAATGATAATTGTTTATTTTTTGTTTTATGCCCTTTCAGATTCTGGAAGGTTTTACAAAAATCTACTATTTTCCAATAGCAAGGGAAACCTACATATTTATTTTCTCAAAACGAAATGAAAACGCTAATTTGAATGGTTGCCTTTTGTATTAAATAAACTGATCTATCTATGATTAAACAACAAAGAGACTGATTTAATCACTCATTGATCAATTTGATGTGAAATTATACATAAGAGATTTGTTTGGGTGCTCATTACATGACGAACACTGCAGCAGTAGATTGCAGAACAGAATTTAGTCTAGAGAAAGTTTTAGAAATGAGCATTTAATTTCCAAGTTGAAATTAATCCCAGATCATTTTCATTGATTTCCAGTTTCCATTCTTCAGATGTATTTCAATCATTTTTCCAATATTATGTTTATATCAAATTTAAACATTATATCTATATTAATGAGGATACTTCTACTTTAAAAGGTAACACCGCAACATATGTATATATATAAATATATATGTATATATATATGTATATATATATGTCTATACATATGTATATGAATGTATATATATGTATATGTATGTGTATGTGTGTATATATATATATATATGTATATGTATATATATATGTGTATATATATGTATATATATATGTATATATATATATATATATATATATATATATATATATATATATCTATATATATATGTATATATATGTATATATATTTATTTATATATATATATATATATATATATATATAATATATATATATATATATATATATATATATATATAAAACACAAGTACAATAAAGTGCTCCAGACCAGTTGAAAAATCTTCAGCTGAGCGCCATGTTTCAGCAAAGTTTCCATTAAGCTCAGTAACTCTCTGCAATGTTGGGCCCAAACAGCTATCTATATATATATATATATATATATATATATATATATATATATATATATATATATATGTG